TGCGGCCCGCCCGTCGCCCCTAGGCCCTGCGCGCCCCCCCTTGCGGCCCGCCCGTCGCCCCTGCTGCCCCGTGCGCCGCCCTTTGCGGCCCGCCCGTCGCCCCTAGGCCCCGCACGCCGCCCCTACTGCCCTGCTCGCCGCCCCTGCAGCCCCGCGCGCCGCTCCTGTCAGAATCATGAACGAATGAATGACTGAACTAGCAAGCAGGTGGGTACAAGTAGGAAACCTAAAAGTGTTGTACCCTATATGAACTACCCCACTACAGCCTAAACAGACTATAGCATATAAGTTTGACACACCCCCATAGGCAAAGTGGGGGAGAACAAGAGGTCACAAGACCGGTCAAGAAAGGCAAAGCAAGCTCAGGGTGGATCACAAAGTCACCACGCATTCTGAGCACAAGCAAATGGCCACAAGGCCAATTCACATGTAGAGTTATATAAAGGAGAACAAGCAATACAGTGAACACAACCTAGCAAGTGTAAGCATGCAGGTATATGTATACAGATCACACTACAAGCAGAGTCAAGAAGTAAGCAAGTGAGGAACAGTAGGTACAAGGCCTAGAACAGTACAGAAACGCTGATGATCACAAGGCTGAAGTGCCTTGGTGAAAACATCAGCAGTGTTGGCCCGAGAGGCCACGTAAGCAAGACGAAGCTGACCACGCTGCTGCAACTCTCGAGCAAGGAAGTAGCGCAGAGCAATGTGCTTCGTTCTGTGCTCCAGTCTGTGCTCTTGACACAAGGCAAGCATTGCCTTGTTGTCGACGTACAGAACTGGAGGAGAACAAGGAGCCTCTCCCAAGTCGGTCAGCAGGTAGGTGGTGTCAAACATTATATATGTTGTATTTGTGTAGGCTACAGTGGGTTAGCCTTTAGGGGGTACACAATTCTAGGGTTAGGTACTTGTACTCCCTTTCCTTTCTAGTCCAACACTTCTTCTTTCTAACATGGTATTAAGAGCATAGGTTTAGACCTAGGATCGCTCCTTAGGGCCCACCGTTCCGTTCGAGGCGCCCTCGAGCGCCTTTCTCCTAGTGCGCCCTCGTGCGCCTCGCTGTCTCCTACTGCCCGTGCGCAGCTCAGTAGAGCCGCACGCGGCCTTTTTTTTCTCGCGTGCGTCGCCCCCTAGCAGCCCGCGCGCGGCGTTTCCTGCGAGCGCGCCGCCCGTTAGCCTCCCACGCTGCCACGCGCCGCCCGCTAGCAGCCCGTCGACGGGCCCTTCTGGCCGCGCGTAGCCCGCTAACGACCGGCAGCCCCGCCCGTAGGCCATGCCGCCGCCCTCTAGGCCGCCCACGTACTAGTCAGGCCCACGCAAGGCCACGGCCCGACCGCTACAGCCGCCCGTGTGCACGCCCCCCCCCCCGTCGCGCACTGCCCCGTAGCCCGGCCCGAGCCGAACCGCGCCGCCCGAACCGAGCCGCGCCGCCCGAACCGAGCCGCGCCGCCCGAACCGAGCCGCGCCGCCTAGGCAGAGCCGTGCCGCCCTACTGTTCCTACTACTGCAGTTCCTACTACTACTGTCACTGCAACTATGGCTAGTCCTTCTGTGCTAGCTTTCGATGCTGAGGGCCGCCCACTGAAGTTTGAGATCTGGCTCGATGACTTACACCTATTCCTCCAGCTCACTGCCAAGGAGGATATCTCACTGTACGATCACGCGCTAGGCCATGCTACTGCCCCTGCTGCTACAGCTGACAGTACTGCTCGCTCACAGTGGCAGACTCGTGACGCTCACGCTCGCTTCGCTATTCGCAATTCCCTGCCGGTAGATGAACACGAGCACTTTGGCCAGCACAAAACTGCGCAGGCACTGTACACTGCTGTAGTTGCACGCTACTCCTCACCTGCCTCTGCTGCACTAGGCCGTCTCTCGCTCCCCTACCTGTTCCCAGACTTGTCAGCTTTCTCCACAGTCTCTGACCTCATCACGCACCTCCGCACTAGTGAGGCCCGCTTCCGTGCTGCTATGCCCGCTGAGTTTCTTGACAAGAACCCCCCCCCGCTCTGGCTCACTCTCTACCACCTAGTCACTCGCCTCCCTGACACTCTGCGTTCAGTCAGGGACCACTTCCTAGCTCGCTGCCCCACTGAGCTCACCATTGACCTCCTCGAGAAGGAACTGCTTGCAGCCGAGGCTAGCATAGTCGCTGTAGGTGCCTCTCGTGGCGACCCCCGCACCCCTTTCTTCGAGGGGTGTTCCCCTTCCCCCCTTCTCCCCTCTGTCGCCTCTGCTGCTGCTGTCGACCTAGTTGGTACTGAGCAGGTCGGAACTGCGTCCGCTCCGAGCTGGCGCCGCAGCGGCAAGGGCAAAGGGGGCAAGGGAGGTGGAGGTGACGGCGGGGGAGGCGGTGGTGGGGGTGGTGGCGGCGGTGGGGGTGGTGGCGGGGCTGGAGGGGCTAGTGGCGGCGGTGGGGGTGGTGGCGGCAGCGGCGGGGGAGGTGGCAGGGGCGGGGGTGGTGGTGGTGGCGGCGGTGGACGCGGAGGCGGCAGGGGCGGTGGTGGACGGGGTGGCAGCGGCGGAGGTGGTGGTCGTGGAGGCGCTGGCGGTGGCCAGAGCCAGCAGCCGACTCCGTCGCCCCAGGAGCTTCGTGAGTGGTACTCTCAGCACGGGGGGGGGGGGGGGTGGACTTAGCTGCACGTACGTCATCCGCACAGGTGACCGCACTGGTCAGACGTGTGGGAGGGCGCACACCACGCAGCGCTGCTTCTCCCGCCTCGACGACGCTTGGCGTACTCAGTTCCCTGCTGCCACTGAGCTGCCCCGCTGGGCTGATCTGATGAAGAAAAACATTGATATCTATGCTCTAGACTTTGATGCTATTCTCACTGCCATGTATGTGTTGTCTACTAGTGGAGAGGGTGCTAAGTACCTGCGTGTTCCGCCCGACCCGGGCATTCGGACCAGTGAGGCTGCCGCTCTAGGTGCTAGTGCGTCTGTTGCCCTAGGTGCTGGTGAGGCTGCCGCTCCAGGTACTCCCGTGTCTCCTGCCCCAGGAACTGGTGAGGCTACTGCTCTAGGTGCTCGTGAGTCTGCGCCCCCTGGTACTGAGTCTACTGAGGCACTGCACACCTTCACACTGGACTCAGGTGCTTCTCGCTGTTTCTTTCGTGACCGCACTGCCCTTGAGCAGCTTGCTCGGCCAGTTGCTGTCTCCCTTGCTGACCCCTCTGGGGGTCCGGTCATTGCGACCTCCTCCACTGTCCTTCCTTGTCCTGCAGTTCCGTCGGGCACACTGTCAGATCTCCACCTCCCCTCGTTCTCTACGAACTTGGTGGCGGGTTGTGCGCTCCAGGACGGGGGTGTCCACCAGTTCACCCCTGCCTACGAGCGCGTGACACACTGCACGTGTGCTCGGACGAGCCGTCACCTGGCTACCTTCACTCGGCAGCCGGGGTCGGACCTGTACACACTGACCACTGAGTCCCCTCAGGTAGCTGCGTCTGCGTCTACTTCAGGTCAGCTGTCTGCCCCCTGCTCGTGTCGCTCTCTAGCACACGAGACCGTCCTCTGGCACCACCGCCTTGGTCACCCGTCAGTGCAGCGCCTTCGTGCCATGCACAAACGGTACCTTGTCTCTGGTCTTCCCAGGGTTCTCCCTCCCCTCCCACCCTCGCCTGCTCCTCCCTGTCTTCCCTGTGTCGAGGGGCGGCAGCGTGCCGCTCCTCACTCCTCCTCGTTTCCCCCGACGACTGCTCCCTTGCAGACGCTACACATGGACGTGTGGGGCCCAGCCCGCGTCCGTGGACAGGGTCAGGAGAGGTACTTTCTGATCGTTGTTGACGACTACTCGCGCTACACCACGGTCTTCCCCTTGCGCGCCAAGGGTGAGGTCCCTGATGTCTTGATCCCTTGGATCCGCGCTTCTCGTCTCCAGCTCAGTGAGCGTTTCCACTCGGACTTTCCTGTCCTGCGTTTGCACTCTGACAGAGGTGGTGAGTTCTTCTCCGACCTCTTGGCAGCCTACTGTGCGGAGCACGGCATCCGCCAGTCGTTCACGCTTCCGGCCTCTCCACAGCAGAATGGGGTTGCTGAGCGCCGCATTGGCTTGGTCATGGAGGTCGCTCGTACCTCCTTGATCCATGCGGCTGCCCCCCACTTTCTGTGGCCGTTTGCGGTCCGATACGCTGCGCATCAGCTCAACCTCTGGCCCCGTGTCTCCTTGCCGGAGACTTCCCCGACACTGCGTTGGACGGGAGAGGTTGGCGATGCGTCGCGTTTTCGGGTCTGGGGTTCTCGAGCTTTTGTTCGCGATACGTCCGCGGACAAGCTCTCCTCCCGCGCTGTTCCTTGTGTCTTCCTTGGCTTTGTCCCGGACGCGTCTGGTTGGCAGTTTTACCACGCCACCTCGCGCCGTGTCCTGCCCTCTCAGGACGTCACTTTTGACGAGTCCGTGCCCTACTACCGCCTCTTCCCCTACCGCACTGCCCCGCTCCCCCCCCCGCCTCTCTTCCTCGCGCCAGGTGCTGCTGTGGTAGACCCCCTCCCCCCTCAGGGTGCCGCTCCCTCAGGTGTGTCCCAGGTAGACCCGGTTGAGCCTGTCGAGGTAGCTGTCGACTCTCGTCCTGCTAGGGGTGCTGAGCCTGAGCGAGCGGAGCCTGAGCGTGCGGAGCCTGGGGGTGCGGAGCCTGGGGGTGCTGAGCCTGGGGGTACGGAGCCTGGGGGTGCGGAGTCTGGGGGTGCTGAGCCTGGGGGTGCGGAGCCTGCGGGTGCTGAGTCTGGGGGTGCTGAGCCTGGGTGTGCTACGTCTGAGGGTGCTGAGACTGAGCGTGCTTCACCTGGAGGAGCTCTCTCCTCACAGCAGCTACGAGAGTGGTACTTACAGTACTGCAGCCTCAGGAGGGGTGCTTCTGGAGCTAGGAGTGTTGCTGGAGCTGGTGCTAGTGCTTCCCCTCCTAGGCGGGAGCTGCCCTCTCCCCAGCGGCTCCGGGAGTGGTACGCTCGGCGCTGCAGTCTCCGGAGTGGCGCTCCTAGTGCCGCGGACCCTGGTGCTGGAGGTGCTGCTGGTGCTGGAGGTGCTGCTGCTGGCGGTGCTGCTGGTGCTGCTGGAGGTGCTGCTGGTGCTGGTGCTGCTGGAGCTGCTGGAGGTGCTGCTTCTACTGGAGGTGCTGCTGGTGCTGCTGACGCTGCTGGAGGTGCTGCTGGTGCTGGTGGTGCTGCTGGTGCTGCTGGAGCTGCTGGAGGTACTGCTACTACTGGAGGTGCTGCTGGTGCTGCTGGAGCTGCTGGAGGTGCTGCTGCTGCTGGCGGTGCTGCTGGCGCTACTGGAGGTCCTAGGGGTGCTCGTACTGGAGGTACTGGAGCTGCTGGGACTAAGCCTGCTGAGGGGGTTGTTGCTGGAGGTGCTGAGCGGCCGCGGCCGTACTACGTTCCGCTCCTTCAGCAGGTTCTTAGTCTCCCGCCCTCTACTGGTCCTTCTCCTCACCTACTGAGTCCACCGCCTGTCCAGTCGCAGTCACAGTTACAGCCAGCCTCTCCACTGCCTGGTCCTTCTCCTTACGCTGAGCCGACGGGAGGTCTTACGGAGCGTCGTGAGCCTGAGTCTCGTCCTCCGTCGCCTGAGTCTCGTCCAGCATCGCCTGAGTCGCGTCCATAGTCACATGTCCGTGCTGTCCGCGCTGGTCGTCGTGCTCCGCGTGAGCGACCTCCTCCTGTCCCTGGCACTCACTATATGACTCTGCATCCTTCCACTGCTCCACAGCGTGTCCCTCTGCCGTCTCCTCCTGCGTCCTCTCTTCCTGCTCTTGCTGACCCGGAGTCTGACTCTCTTCGTGCTGCCAGTCCTACTGTCACGCGTCTCCTTGCCACTGTTGTCACTGACCCTTCCTTCGAGTCCTCTGCTGCGTCTGCTCTAGTCGCTGAGCTTGTTGACTTTGCTGCCGCCTGTCGTCTAGACTACGCCGCTAGCCTTGTTGCTGAGTCTGAGTCTGTCTGTCCTCCGTCCGTCGGGGGTGAGTGTGCTCTTGGCACGAACGTCCTTGAGGACAGACAGGAGGAGTTTGAGTGCTTTGCCGCTGCTTTGCCTCATCTCGTGTCCATGCTAGTTGCCCCTGAGGGAGACCCGGATGCACCAGACATCCCGACCCCACGCTCCTACGCAGAGGCGATGGAGGGTCTCTACTCCTCTCAGTGGCAGACAGCCATGGACGCAGAGATGGCTTCCTGGAAATCCACAGGCACCTACGTCGACGAGGTTCCCCCACCTGGGGCGAACATCGTCAGTGGCATGTGGATTTTCAGGGTGAAGCGGCCGCCGGGTTCTCCGCCTGTCTTCAAGGCGCGTTACGTTGCACGTCGCCGCTCAGCGTGACTACGAGCTCCACTCTCTTGACTTCAGCACTGCGTTCCTACAGGGCAGCCTGCACGAGGAGATCTGGCTGCGCCGCCCACCTGGCTTCACTGGGTCGTTCCCTCCTGGTACCCAGTGGAGCCTCCGGCGGCCAGTCTACTGTCTCCGCCAGGCACCCCGTGAGTGGGACGACACACTGAGGACTACGCTTGCGGCTCTTGGGTTTGCTCCTTCTACTGCTGACCCGTCGCTGTTTCTACGCACCGACACCACTCTGCCGCCGTTCTACGTTCTCGTGTACGTCGACGACTTGGTTTTTGCTACTGCTGACACTGAGGCACTCGCCCACGTGAAGTCGGAGCTGCAGAAGAGACACACGTGCACAGACCTGGGTGAGAGCACAGCGCACCATCACCTTGACTCAGTCACACATGGTGCAGCAGGTCCTTCAGCGCTTCGGCTTCACGTACTCCTCACCTCAGCCCACTCCTCTGCCTACCGGTCACTCGCTCTCAGCTCTGCCTTCGGATGAGTCCGTAGAGCCGAGTGGCCCGTATCCAGAGCTTGTTGGCTGCCTCATGTACCTGATGACCTGCACTCGACCTGACCTTGCATACCCTCTTAGCATCCTAGCACGCTATGTCGCTACTGGCCGTCACCGGAAGGAGCACATGGATGCCGCTAAGAGGGTGTTGCGTTACCTGTGCAGTACGTCGGGCATGGGGCTTGTGCTTGGAGGACGGCGCGACGTTGTCCTCACTGGACACTCAGACGCTTCTTGGGCTGACGACCAGGCTACGCAGCGGTCGTCTCAGGGTTACACCTTCAGCCTTGGCTCTGGCTCTGTTTCCTGGCGTTCTACACGCTCTTCTTCTGTTCTCAGCTCCAGTTGTGAGGCTGAGATCTACGCCACAGCCATGGCGGCCCAGGAGCTACGCTGGCTCACCTACCTGCTGACCGACCTCGGAGAGCGGCCTCGTTCTCCTCCAGTGCTGTACGTCGACAACAAGGCAGCCATTGCCTTGTGTGAGGAGCACAGACTGGAGCACAGAACGAAGCACATCGCTCTGCGCTACTTCCTAGCGCGAGAGCTGCAGCAGAGGGGTCAGCTTCGTCTCTCGTACGTGGCCACTCGGGCCAACACTGCTGATGTGTTCACCAAGGCACTTCAGCCTTGTGATCATCAGCGTTTCTGTACTATTCTAGGCCTTGTGCCTACTCTCCCTCACTTGCTCACTTCTTGACTCTGCTTGTACTATGATCTCTATATATATACCTGCATGCTTACACTTGCTAGGTTGTGATCACTGTACCTCTTGTTCTATTATCAAACTGCATGTGAACTGGTCTTGTGACCATTTGCTTGTGCTCGGAATTTGTGTGGTATCCTTGAGATCCACCCTGAGCTTGTCTTGCTTTGCTTTGCTTTGACTGGTCTTGTGACCGCTTGCTCTCCCCCACTTAGCCTATGGGGGTGTGTCAAACATTATATATGTTGTATTTGTGTAGGCTACAGTGGGTTAGCCTTTAGGGGGTACACAATTCTAGGGTTAGGTACTTGTACTCCCTTTCCTTTCTAGTCCAACACTTCTTCTTTCTAACAGGTGGGCCAGCGTAACACCTGTGCAGCCATGGCCCCAGCGTAGATCTCAGCCTCACAAGTGGAGCTGAGAACAGAAGACGAGCGGGTAGACCGCCAAGAGACAGAACCGGAGCCAAGGCTGAAGGTGTAACCCTGTGACGACCGCTGCGTAGCCAAGTCGTCAACCCAGGAAGCGTCTGCGTGACCAGTGAGGACCACTCGACCCCGTCCTCCAAGCACGAGCCCCATGACCGACGTATTGCACAAGTAGCGCAACACCCTCTTCGCAGCATCCCTGTGCACCTTTCGGTGCCTCAGCCTCTCCAGAAACAGCAGAGACAGCACCAGTACCCTCAGCCCCAGGGTCTCCAGCTACAACTCCCACAGCACCACAAGCTCCAGTACCTCCAACAGCTCCAGCTCCAGCAGCACCTCCAGTAGCAACAGCTCTAGCACCGACAGCTCCAACTCCTGCAGCACCACCAGCCCCAGCAGCTCCAGTACCTCCAGTACGAGCACCTCCGGGACGAGCTGCTCCAGCACCTCCAGCAGCTCCAACACCAGCAGGACCTCCAACAGTGCCAGCAGCACCTCCAGCAGCTCCAGAAGCACCTCCAGCAGCTCCAGAAGCACCTCCAGCACCAACAGCACCTCCAGCAGCTCCAGAAGCACCTCCAGCAGCTCCAGAAGCACCTCCAGCAGCTGCAGCACCAGCAGCACCTCCAGCAGCTCCAGCTCCAGAAGCACCTCGAGCAGCAGGTCCAGTAGCACCAGCAGCACGGTGACAGCGCCGAGCGTACCACTCACAAAGCTGCTGTGGAGAGAGGGGCTCCCGCCGCGACGGGACATCCGGAGGACCTCCAGACTCAGCACGCTCAGGCTCAGCACCCTCAGGCTCTGCACCCCCAGACTCAGCATCCCCAGGCTCAGCACCCCCAGGCTCAGCACGCTCAAGCTCAGCACCCCAAGGCTCAGCACCCCCAGACGCAGCACCCCCAGGCTCCACACGCTCAGACTCAGCACCCCAAGGCTCCGCACCCGCAGACTCAGCAACCCCAGGCTCAGCACCCCCAGGCCCCACACCCGCAGGCTCAGCACCCCTAGCAGCACCTGAGGGGGCAGGACCCTGAGGGGGGAGGGGGTCTACCGGAGGAACACCTGGTGCTAGGAAGAGTAGCAGGGGGGGGGGGAAGGGTAGTGCGGTAGGGAAAGAGACGGTAGTAAGATACCGACTCGTCAAACGTGACGTCCTGAGAGGACAGAAGACGACGTGAGGTGGGGTGGTAAAACTGCCACCCAGGGGCGTCAGGGGGGAAGCCAAGGAAGACGCAGGGAACGGCACGGGAGGACAGCTTATGCGCAGAAGCATCGCGGACAAAAGCTCGAGATCCCCAGACACGGAACACAGACGCATCGCCAACCTTCCCCGTCCACCGCAGAGTAGGTGTGGTCTCCGCCAAGGAGACACGAGGCTGAATGTTGATCTGATGCGCAGCGTACTAAACCGCAAACGACCACAGAAAATGGGGAGCAGCCGCATGGATCATGGACGTACGAGCGACATCCATGACCATGCCAATGCGGCGCTCAGCAATCCCATTTTGCTGTGGGAAGGCCGGAAGCGTGAACGTCTGGCGGATGCCCTCCGCACGACAGAAGGCCCTCAGAAGGTCGGAGGAAAACTCACCACCTCTGTCTGAGTGTAGACGTAGAACAGGAAGGTCCGAGCCGAAACTCTCGCTGAGCTGGCGACGGGCACCGCGGATCCAGTCGATCAACACCTCAGTGTCCTCACCCTTGCGGCGCAAGGGGAAGACTGTGGTGTAACGCGAGTAGTCGTCAACGACCAGGAGGAAGTAACGCTCGTGACCCTGTCCACGGACGCGGGCTGGGCCCCACACGTCCATGTGAAGAGTCTGCAGGGGAGCCTCTGTCGGGGGGAACTCGGAGGAGTGAGGAGCGGCTCGCTGCCGGCCCTCGACACAAGGAACACAGGTAGGGGCAGGCCCCGGAGGAAGGGACCGGGGGAGACCAGAGACAAGGGTACGGGAGGCCATACCTCGAAGACGAGGCAGGGAGGGGTGACCAAGGCGGTGGTGCCAAAGGAGAGTCTCGTGTGACAGAGGACGACACGAGCAGGGGGCCGACGCTGGACTAGACCTGGACGCAGCAGAAAACACCTGACCAGACGCGGCTACCTGACCAGACGTAGTAATCGGAGGAGACGCAGTAGTCACTGTGTACAGACTCGAGCCAGGCCGACGGGTGAACGTGGCCAGGTGGCGGCCCATCCGAGAGCAAGTGCAGTGGGTCACACGCTGACCTCCAGGGGTGAACTGGTCAACCCACGCGTCCTGGAGGTCAGCTCCACTCACCAAGTTCGTAGAGAACGAGGGGAGGTGGACTCCCGACAGCAAGCCCGACGGGGCCGCAGGACACGGTAGAACTGTGGAAGAGTGCGCAAGGATTGGGCCCCCAGAGTGGTCAGCCAGGGAGACTGCGACAGGTCCACTGAGCGGCGTGAGTATGGTGCTGTCGCGAAAGAAGGAGCGCGAAGCACCAGAGTCAAGTGTGAAAGTGTGCAAGGCCTCAGTAGGTGCAGTACCAGAGAGAGCAGACTCACCAGCACCTGGAGCAGCAGACTCACTAGTACCTGGAGCAGCAGACTCACTAGCACCTGGAGCAGCAGACTCACTAGCACCTGGAGCAGCAGACTCACTAGCACCTAGCGCAGCAGCGTCAATGCCCGGGTCGGGCGGAACAAACAGGTAATAGTCACCCTCAGCACTATCAGTTGCAACATACATGGCTGCAAGGATAGCATCAAAATCAAGATCAAATATAGCAACGTTCTGCTTAAGCAGATCACCCAAGCGCGGGAGCTCAACAGCGTCAGGAAACTGGGCGCGCCAGGCGTCAGTCAGGCGACCGAAGCAGCGCTGCGCAGTGTGTGGCAGTCCGCACGTCTCCCCACGGCGCCCGCCAGTGCAAAGAACGTAAGTGCAGGGACCAACACCCCCAGACCTCCCACGCCCAGCGTACCACTCACGAAGCTGCTGGGCCGACGGGGTCTCACGGGAACGCGGCTGCTGCTGGCGCTGGCTACCACCAAAGCCTCCACGCTGCGCGGCTCCACCTCGACCAGCACCACCGCCGCCGCCACCTCCACCACCGCTGCCGCTACCTCCACCGCCGCTGCCGCTGCCTCCACCACCCCCACCGCCGCCACCGAAGCCCCCACTCCCGCCACCACCCCCACCTCCACCGCCACCCCCTCCGCCTCCTCCACCGCCTCCACCGCCGCCCCCACCGTCCCCTCCACCACCCTTGCCCCCCTTGCCCTTGCTGTTGCAGCGCCTCCCACTAGGAGCAGACGCAGCCCCGACCTCCGCAGTGCCAACGAGGTCGACAGCAGCAGCAGAAGCAACAGAGGGGAGAAGGGGGACAGGGGAACACCCCTCAAAGAAAGGGGCGCGAGGGTCGCCGCGAGAAGCACCTACAGCTAAGATACTCTTTTCAGCTGCAGCTAGGCGCTCCTCTAGCAGGTCGACAGTGAGCTCGGTGGGGCGAAGGGAGAGAAAGTGGTACCTGACTGAAGCAAGGAAGTCAGGGAGGCAGGTGACTAGGTAGTAAAGGGTGATGTACATGGGGGGGGGGTTCTTGGCACAGAACTCAGTGGGAAGCGCAGCTCGGTAGCGGGCGTCACTAGTGCGGAGGTGAGTAATGAGGTCAGCGACTGTGGCAAAAGCGGCAAGGTCAAGGAACAGGTACGGTAGCATGAGGCGGCTGAGGGCAGCAATGGAAGGGGAGGAGTAGTGCGCTACTACAGCGTCGTACAAAGACTCAGCAGACGGCAGGTGACTACGAACAGCAAGGCGAGCAACAGCGTCACGAGTGGTCCACAGCGAGCGAACCGTACTGTCAGCAGTGGCAGCAGGTGCAGTAGAGACACCGGACGTGTGATCGAAGAGGGATACCCCGTCCCTAGAGTCACACTGAAGAAAGAGTTGCAGGTCGTCAACCCACACGTCAAAGTCAACTGCATGCCCCTCAGCATCAAAGGTAAGAACAATAGGGCTAGCCATAGCGGCAGTAGCAGCAGGGGCAGCAGTAGCAGCAGTGGCAGCAGTGGCAGCAGAAGCAGCAGTAGCAGCAGGAGCAGCGTAGGCAGGACAGGGCGGCTCAGTAGGGCTGCGCGGCTCGGAAGGGCGGTGCGGCTCGGCAGGACGGCGCGGCTCGGCTGGGCGGCGCGGCTCGGCTGGGCGGCGTGGCTTGGCTGGGCAGCGCGGCTCGGCTCCTGGTGGCACGGCGCGGCAAGGCGGCGCGGGTGCTTACCAGGGGCGGGTGCAGGGCAGAGCCGCAACCGGCGGTTTAGGTCAGGGCCGCAACTGGGGCGGCAGCAAGGCAGGGCCGCGACAGGGCGGCTGCAGGGCAGGGCCGCGACGGGCGGCGAAGGCAGGGCCGCAACTGGGGCGGCAGCAGGGTAGGGCCGCGACAGGGTGGCTGCAGGGCAGGGCCGCGACAGGGCGGCAAAGGCAGGGCCGCGACGAGCGGCGACGGGCCAGCGACGGGCGGCTACGGGCCGGCGACGGGCGGCAACGGGCCGGGACGGGCCGGCGACGGGCCGGGATGGGCCAGCGACGGGCGGCAAAAGGCAGGGCC